AATTCGATTCCCGCTCATGGCCACTGAGACCAGTGGCGATTATTCAAACCGGTCTTGGGATGCCGCCGATGTTGACTCGGCCTCCGAATGAGTACTTGGTGCAGTGGTGTGCAGGAAACATCGCTCCTGAGGAAACAAAGGCGAGCGGGCGTGGTGCTGGCCACCCACTCCCTCGAGTACCCTGCTGGCTTTAAAATGTGCTCGACAACAGCACTTGCCCAACAGTCTGTTGAAGGTTATATTGAGATCCTTACCTTTGTGTGTCACTATCGGTGATACTCGCTAACAGCACGTGCCCCAAAAGTTTGTTGAGCCTATATGGGGTGTCTTTGTTTTTTTTGTTTGTTAGGATTGAGTCGTTGAGATTATGCAAAAAATTGTGAAGTATTATATTTAACCAAATAACGCCCCACTGATCTATACAGCTTTTAATTAGATGGGACCAGGCTATCACAAACGATAGCTCAACCAAGTGGCGGCTTATCAACATCACGTGGACATTTATAGAAGCTGCCAAATAACTATAAACGCGTGGCGTTTATTATGAATGTGGAGAAGAACTGAAGGACCCGGAGAAAAATCCACGCAATCACGGTGAGAGAGACGCAGAACCAAATATAGAGCAGCTGTCATCAGGGTCGGGATCGAACCAGCGACTTCCTGTATACCAGGCAAGGTAGTTAAGATCTCCTAGCAACCGTGGCGCTCCCAAACAATAAAATAATATAATATATTTTATATATATTTTATATATATTTTATATATATTTTATATATATTTTATTATTTTATTGTTTCCCTTCTACGTGACTTTACCGAAAGAGCTAAGAATAAGATGGGGATAGTTTAGTTTGTATGTGTTTAGGTGATTTGTTTTTCCTGTTGTACTTTGCACTACTATCGCGTTTGTGTGTATTGTGTTTTTTGTTGTAACGTTCTTACCCCGTGCCCCCCTACTGGACTTCTTTTAAAAAGAGCTTTATATTCCTCCTCCAGTGTAAATAAATATTCTGATTATGATTCTAAAACGCAGCAAGTTGGCACAGTATGGGGGGCACAGGTGGTGCATATGTCGGTCATCTCAGTCGGTCAACCTATGCCACCTTACTGGGTTTGGTCCCTGTGACCTCCTGCCCAGCAGCAAGCGTCCGACACTTTATGTGGCACTTGAAAGTGCCCCTGGCCTGGCACCGGCACCGTGGTGACGTCACCGTCACTTCGTGGCGATTGGCAGCTGTTGTTGTTGTTGTTGTCTTTGTATGGCTTTGGGGAGCAGTGGTGTAGCAGTTAGCGTGCCGTGCTATGAACCCGGTGAGCCGAGTTCGATTCCTGCTAACGGCCATATTGTGACAATTATCTTAACCGGGTCTGGGCCTCCACTGGGTCAGCTCGGCCTCAAACAAGTACCTGCTGCGGCGTGTTAACATCGCCACTGGGGAGACAAATGCGAGCAGGCGTGGTGCTGTCCACACAACCCCTCGTGTGCCGCATTGCCGGACTTCATAGGTGCTGTACTCGCTAACAGCACTTGCCCCAACAGTCTGTTGACGCTATATGGGGGACCTTGGTTTTTTGAGTGATGGAGTGGATGAGTGTAATGAGTGAGTATTTTGTTTTGACCTGCAGTATGCTGAGTGGGTGAAAGAGTGAGTGGGTGGGTGAGTGTGTAATCGGATGAATGAGTGGGTAAATGAGTATATAAGTGAGAATGTGGCTGAGTGGGTGACTCAGAAATCGGTGTCGTGAGTTACACGTGCAGCGGGTCAGAAGGTGGGCGAGCCGGTGGGTGAGTTCGCGGGTGAATGTATGAGTGAGTGGGTGAATTAATGTGTGAGTGGGTCGGTGAGTTGGTGAGTGAGTGGGTTGACGAGTGTGTGAGCGGATGAATGAGTGAGTGATTGAGTGTATAAGTGAGTGTGTGGCTGAATGGGTGATTACGTTTAGTGAAACGCGGTCGAACAACTTTGAAATTAATCTTTATTCCTACGAGCAGTACAGAAAAAAAATCACAAACCAAAACGGCGACAATCACTGAATGAAGGTTTTCTAAAAGGGGTACTCCGGTATACTCTCACACGCATGCAACAACAACAAAACTAATAAAGTTAGTCTGAAAACATCTCCATATATATCAAGGCCGTAGCCATGGAGTCAACATAGGGGAGACCAAATCTTTCCAGGGGGTCTGGGGGTCCCAACCCAGAAAAATATCTACATTTGAAAACGAATTTCCTGCCATTTCCTGCCTTAAAAAAATAATCACTAACACATGGGATGGACTTTTTTTTTACCAATAATGTCTTAGTGTATTGTATTACATTCCTCTGTTTTTACTTTTTACCATTTTTTGTTTCATTGTATGCAATGTTTGAGATTAGGGATTAATAAAGTACAACCATAACCACAATCATATGAACAGAAATCCATGTATTGATTTATATGAAGACAAGTCCAGATATTGTGACAAAGGTTTAGCAAATTGTTGTTTTTAATTTACATAGCATAGCAATTATTACTTCTTTTTTTATATGTTTATAGCAATATATTGGGGGGGGACATTTTGAGCATATTTTAATTTTGGGAGGGGATGTGTCCCCCCCAATATATATTATAATTACGGCCTTGACATATATATGACTGCAGAAGCTTGGGCAATTGTTGATAGTCGCTGGCTGCCTCCATCCCATTGGTTTGCAGCTACTCGGCCTGTATTAGACGCAGTTCACCATGGGCAGGTGTCCGGTAATCTGTGCTACGCCGGAGGCATACGCGGTTCTTTAAAGGCACTGGCTTCTGTGATGTTTTGTATCGATGAGCGCCCCCATCTCGTATTCACCAACGTTGCATTTGCGGCCTCTTGAAATATAGAGAACGTTTTTGGTTGTTACCTAATTCGAAAAAATGGGCTTTTCGTGTTAATTTTGGTTGCCGAACCCCTGGTTATGGACGATGCAAATTACATGGAGCTCTGTTTGATAGCCTTCCACCAGTACCTCCGATTAGCACGGCCGTCTCCGTAGGGTGCGAACGATGCAAATTATTTACGGTACCAATTAGTTAACTCATTCAGCACTAACCAGTCGTTGCATTGGAGCATTAACCTACTCTTATCGTAAAATTTTGATTTAAAGCTTTCGTGACTGCAGGGATTCATATTCTTGGTTCTTTCGGTAAAGTCACGTAGAAGGGAAACAATAAAATAATAAAAATATGAAACAATACAATTCTCACGACGTTTCGACTGCAACACAAGCAATCGTCGTGATTTGATTTATTTTATTTCAGATAATCGCTTAATCATAATGATTTTAAATTGCTTATTTTTTGCACATTTGTGCATGACGTTATGTTTTTAGGTGTTGTGTATACGTTGTTTTTAGCGTTTAGAATTTGTCTTATGTGTAAATGGCATAAAATGAACATACAAATGGAGAAAAATATATATCCTACTCTAAAAAGTGGCTGTATTTACTGTACCATACCTAACAATAGGGTTTTTACCCTTTTTTCTGGCAACAAAACTGAAACCTTTTTTTTTACAAGGAATCATTAACCACAATACTTGTGGTCAAAATGCAATAAAAAAAACTCTGATAACATAAGCATTGTCCTTGAAACTGATTGGTCCACACCAGAGACGGATTTCTTTAGAGCCTCGTCGCAATTGGTGCCGGACCAGAGGACGCCAATGTGGACCAATCAGATTCAAGGACAATGCAAATATTATCAGTGTGTTTTTTGTTTGCATTTTCACCACAAGCATTGTGGTTAATGCACACATTATTCCTTGTAAAAAGGTTTCAGTTTTGTTGCCAGAACAAAGGGGAAAAACCCTATTTCCATATTTTGGTACTGACAAAGGAGGTCTAATGATGTACCATACTTACCACTCTAATCTCGAAGGCTCTCCATGAGGTGGTGTACGTAGTACTACTACGCTCTGGTTTTAACAACACGATTGCGTTTGATGATCGCTGGACAAATGCGAACGCCGAATTACACAACTCACTTCTCGCCGGATCGCAGTGTAAATTTACAGTTTTTGTTCCTGTAGTTATCCGTCATGAAAAATGTATATACGTGCAGTATTTTGATTCTTTAGGTTGTTTTATGTAGTGTATAACATGCTGTATATAATGTGAGATTTTACCTTTTCTAGCAATAAACCAGGTCGTGTTAAAATGTTAAAACGGCAAATAGATACGAGACCAGTCCATTAAGAAAGCTGTCCCGCGTGTAGGCCAATCCGTTTCAAAGACAATGCATCATGCATAATTATCAGACCATGTTTGTTTGTGTGTGTGGTTAGGTGCCATAAATGACGTCACGCATCCTTGGGGGGGTCAGACATTTATGACGATGTGTGACAAGGGGGGTTTGGGGTTTGAGAAATGTGACGTCACATCAAAATGCGCAGCTTTAAATACATATAGACAACACGTTCTACTTAATTAAATATACTTTTTAATAGATGTTTTCTCCTACAACAGCAGAGTGCAGCGCCACATTAAGTACGCACTACAATGACAATAGTTTAAAGCGATTTGAAGCATGTTTTTCTTTTTTGGGGGGTGGAGGGGCAGCGCCTTGTGACGTCATATTTGAGGGGGGGTCTGACTTTTGTGACGCCGTGTGACTATTGGGGGCGGGGGTCAAAAATCGTCCAAAATCGCGTGACGTCATTTATGGACGGCCTCTTAATGCAGACTTGATTCCTTGCAAAAGGTTTGGTGTTTGAACATTACCAGAAAGGTTAAAACCTATTCTTAGTTTTCATACTTTGATACTGGAAAAAAAGGTCCCATGATACTAAATGTAATATTTGACACGAAAATAAAGCGTAGCTACTTTGGTCAAGCGAACGTAGCGGTTTTTCTGGATTCGCCCGGGACCGCTGGATAATGTTGGAAGCAGCCGGATAATTGCGTGCCAGATAATCGATGATCTACTGTTTTTCATAGCGCTGTACATAAAAATAAAATATGGATAAAAATAATCTAAGAGAAATATAAAGGCTGGTAATAATACTCTCGACATTCCAATCAAATGAAGAACTATGATAAAAAGCAAATAATAATAATTGCAGAGTAATCCAATCAGACAAAAAAAACACTGCGTTTTTAAAATCTTAAGTTACCGGCAAAGCTTGCAGTACAAATAGGTAATATATACCCGTGCGCGTGTGTGTGTGTGTTTGTGTTCAAAGCATCACACACATACACACTCTAGAGCATCATCACGACAAAATGTATTTGCCGTTAGAGGCGGTATCCCGTGAAGCAGCAATCGGTGAACTCGTCCACGTGGAGGCCGTTGCTCGACGGCATTGCACTCAGCCACACTTGGTCTCCCTTCCTGAGCATGAGCACGGTCGATCCGCTCAGCGGGGTGGACAGTGACGACGACGCTGATGACGCCGACAAAGACGACGACGACGACACCACCAACATCGGGCTTTCGTTCTTCACCAGTTTGACGCGCAGGGGTGGCATGGAGAGGCGGGGCAGCACGTGGAACGAGAAGAAGTGGGCGCCCTCCTCCACGCACGTGAAGTGGCCCTCCTCGGGGTCGTAGCTGTGCCTCGTGTTCGTGAGCACTGAGTCGAAGGTCAGCGACTGAGGAGGGTTGTCTGCGAGGTTGCTGTAGAGCGCAGCCACCTCGTGCGACATCTTTGCCGAGAAGGCGTCGGTGAGCTGAGATTCATTGGGGGGGCCCTGGATCCCAGGGGGCCCAGGCTCCCCCCTCTCCCCATCCTCTCCCTTCTCTCCCTTTTTAGCGTGAGCGCCATCAGCGCCCCTCCCTCCCCTGGGGCCCGTCTCTCCCTTCTCTCCCCTCGGACCCCTGGGGCCCGTCTCTCCCTTCTCTCCCCTCGGACCCCTGGGGCCGTCCATCCCTGGGACTCCCATCGCTCCACTCTCCCCTGCGGGCCCCGTTTCTCCCTGTTCTCCCCACGCCCCGGTCTCCCCCTTTTTTCCGCTCGGTCCAATGTCCCCCTTCGCCCCTCTCTCTCCCCTCAACCCCGTCTCTCCCCTCGCCCCAGGCTCTCCCTTCTCGCCACTCTCTCCCTTCTCCGCGCGCGCAGTCTCCTCGGAATTCTCTTCCCTCACCAACGCCTCCCCCTTTTCTCCCTTATCCCCCTTCTCTCCTCTCGTCCCCCTCGCTCCCATTATCCCCATCTCTCCCACCTCTCCCTTCTCTCCCCTCTCTCCCTTCGCCATGTAGGCATCGTCGTCAACACTGGTCCCTTCCCACTCTCCCGTCTCCCAACTTTTTGGTGGATCCCCCCAATTCAACGCCATCTCTTCCCCCTCTGCCGTCTCCCACACGAGGCTGATGCTGTGAGACGTTGGTCCGATTCCACCAATCGCTGGGTCGCCCACTGAGCCAGGGTGATGGCAGTTGCCTGCGGCAGAGGCATAACTGCTCATTAAAGGGCCAGGAACCGCTTGGGGCAAATTTGGGACAACCGTACGACACAGCAAATCATCACCAGCGACGGTTGCCACCACGTTTCATCATTGTAACAACAATCTCATTTTTCTTGGTTCTTTCGGTAAAATTTTCCTGTTGTGGTTTTCACACCTGATGATGATTGCTTGTGTTGCAGTCGAAACGTCGTGAGAGCCACTTTTTTCAAATTTTCTTGTTGTGGTTTTCACACCTGATGATGATTGTTCGTGTTGCAGTCGAAACATCGTGAGAATTGTATTGTTTTATATTTTTATTATTTTATTTTTCCCCTTCTACGTGACTTTACCGAAAGAACCAAGAATATCTTTCGGTAAAATCACGTAGAAGGGAAACAATAAAGCAATATAAATATAAAACAATAATTGTTTTATATTTGTATTATTTTTGTATTATTTTATTAATAATAACAATAATTGTTTAATTGTTTTATATTTGGATTATTGTATTGTTTCACTTCTACGTGACTTTACCGAAAGAACCAAGAATATGAATCCCTGCAGTCACGAAAGCTTTAAATCAAAACAATCTCATTGTCGCAAAGCCTGAACAGTCATTATTTTTATTTATCAGGTATGGCCCAACTGAGCTATGTAGCTCTTTTTCAGAAGTGACCAGGTTGTCACAAATGATAACTCAACGACAGTGGCTTATCCTCACCACTCGTGGAAATGCACAAGTTTTCTAAATGCCTGGCGTTGATTCTCAATGTAGAGGGAAAAAAACTGGAGGATCCGGAGATAAATCCACTCGACCATGTGGAAAAAGGCACACAAACTCCGAATATACGGCAGGCATCAGGGTCAGAATCGAACCCACGACCTCCTGTATACCAGGCGATGTAGTTAACGTGACGCCAGAAAAATAATCAGGACAAGTCATAATTCGTTATAGTTACGTGCAATAACATAAACGTGTATTTCAATATGTGGAGGACCAGAGAGCCCATATTAAGGAGGCATCGTCTGCGTATTCATTATGGGACTGGCAGAGAAGGGCAAAGTCATGAAGAATGAACGCTATGAGATTCTACAGATGCGCTGGTGATGCTGATGTGTATGGCAGTGATCCACAAGCACAAATAACCAAAACAAAAACCCAAACATAGTCATCAACAACACTTTTTGGCCTTAAACAGGATTTAGATGTATAGGGGACTCCTCTACTTACGAACATTCGACTTAGGATCTTAAATAAAATACGAACAAACCTGTCCGTATGTCCAATTTTACATCTGCTGAACATGAAGAACCAGTGGCATCTACATCTGCAGAACATGAAGAACCAGTGGCATCTACAGGAGATTATACTAATTTTAACGCCATTCCCCGTGTTTAGTGTACATGCCGTACAACATGTTTGGAATCAACAGGAGAAAAGTTGGACTTACGAACAATTTACTTACGAACAGAAACCTAACTCGCTCGTAAGTAGAGGAGTGCCTGTATATAATGTGACGTTTAAAGCCAACCTTAACATCTTTTACGTGCGACGAGGAAGGGACATTGTTGTCAGAATGATGAGTGTGGTGAGTGTGGTGGGTGTGATAAGTAAAGGATTCGTCTCTCACAGTCTGGAGTCTCTGGTTGACTTGTCGGTCTTGTCTTAAATTCTTCTCTTCGTGAAAATCCTGAGAAGATTAAACGTGGGTCACTCACAATCATCTACTATCATACACCCACCCACTCACTCATTAACTCACGGCTACTGATTCACCCACTTACTAACTCGTACTCACCCACTCACTCGTACTCACCCACTCACTCACTCACCCATTCACCCAACAACTCTAGATTGAAAATAATTTATTTAAAACTGCTTTTGTGTTTAGTGTGTTTGTCCTTCCTCCTGCACCTCTGATTAGCGCGGTTGGCTAGGTACGGTGCGAAAGAACTTCAACACACATACACATACATAAGTATTGATTTGAAGCTTTCGTGACTGCAGGAATCCACACTCTTTATTTGGTTCATTCGGTAAAGTCACGTGGTAGGTAGAAAATCAAATAAATCACGACGTTTCGGGCGCAACACAAGCGTCCATCATCAGGTGGGAAAGCTTGTGTTGAAACCCGAAACGTCGTGATTTTTTTTATTTTATACCTACGTGATTTTACCGAAAGAACCAAAGAGTACACACATAAGTACTTTGAGGCGTCAAAGGCTCGCTGGCAGGAGGTCACGGGCGTCACTTGCAAAGGATGCTGCGGTGACGTGATGTTAACTACCTCGCCTGATATGCAGGAGGTCGTGGTTTAGATCCTGACCCTGATGCCTGCTGTATATTTGAAGTTTTCATTTATTTTTATCTTTTCTTTTTTTTTTACAATCAGAGGAAACAAGAAGATGCTCGGTGTAGTCGGCACTTCGTTTCGTTCATCATTTGTTTTTTTTTTAGTTTATGTTTTCAATGCTTTGCTTTATGTGCCCCCCCCGCCCCTCCTTATAAATGAAAGATTTCACGAAAGATTTTACGCTCTGCTCTCCTCCTTCTTACCCCTTCCCTCTCTCTGTACCCCCTCTCTCGACCCCCCTCTCTCTCTCTCTAGCCTCTCCCTACTCTATGTCTATGTTCCCCCTGTTCTCTATGTAATATTTGTTTAAAAAAATACTACGACAAGTGCTGCATCTGCACCCAGCCCTTCTCGCAGTCCTACGGCCTCCGACGGGTAGCTCAGATCTGCATGCAGAGCTCTCTACCGTCTTCTGCCACCGAGCACACGGCCTCCTCCAGCGTCCACTGCTCCTCTCTCTCTCTCCTGCTCTCTCCCCGTGGACGTCACGTGGATTTTTCTCCGGGTCCTTCAGGTTTTCCCTCCACATTTAGAATCAACGTCACGCGTTCAGAGTACTTGGCTGATGCTGCTGCTGTAAATGTCCACGTGATGATCATAAGCCGCTACTTCTTTGAGCCATCATTTCTGATAGCCAGGTCCGCTTCTCAAAAATAAGTTCTATAGTGCTCAGTGGGGGCCTTACCTGGTACAGTAATAATTATTTAAACTATTCTTTGGGTCTTTCGGTAAAGTCACGTAGATAGGTTCAAATTAATAAAAAAAAATATAAAATAAACAAAAACACTACGACAGGAGGAAAAAAGAGGGGAGGGAAGCTCCTGAACGCAGCCAGAAACAGTCTGTGGTGATCGAAACGTCGTCGTTTTTTGTTTATTGCATATTTATGAATTTGAACCTATCTACTTGACTTTACCGAAAGGCCCAAAGAATATGAATTCCTGCAGTCACGAAAGCTTTAAGTCAATTATTTAAAAGTGTTTTATTCATTTAGTTTAAGGTGCACCTCCATTGCCTTGCTGCGATTCGTCCCGTTGTTTAGAGCGTTTCTCTGCTGCCTTCTGCTGTTGATCCCTGCGCCTACCTCCACCATTCCTTACAGCGCCTTTAACGAGGCTCCTCATCCTCCTCAACAGAGGCCGGTGAGTGCGCACTCAGCTCTTCATCCTACTCATGCTACTCCCCGTTGTTGCTGGAGGGCGTCTACCTCCAACTGCCCAGTAGCGTCCTTCACGAGCCTCATCCTCAGCAGATGCCAATCATGACACCGCTGGTACCAGTCATAGGTAAGCGATTGGACTCCAAACCCCAACGTACACAGTAGAGGATGGGGCACGCCCCCACATTTAGCTTCAGGGGCTGACCTCCGGGCTAATAAATTGAGCTGCGGTGTTTGTGACGTAGTGGGAGGGGTGGTGTGTTTCTGATCCGCTATTGCATATAACACCACTGCCCTTGTGAGGAACACTTTAAAATAAAGTTTCGCCATTTGACAAACCACCCTACCCCTACCCTAGTGTCTCAGCTGTTGTGGAGTCTCCACCAAACTTAAAGGGCTCTATTATCCAATAGCACGGTGCCCATGCCCTACGAAAAACTAAAGGGCCTACGTAAAAAAATACCATGTTTTCTGTTTGCGTGATAATTTTTTTACCAATATTATTTATTCTTGAATACATATTTATATAGCAAGGATAGGCGCAGTGTTTCAAATTATATCTGCTTATCTGCGGCACACAGTGCGCTCCCGTTGAATTAGGGGACAGACTAAATAATGAATGAACGAGTAACGACATCTGTCCAGCGGCTGGACGAAGTACCACGTGAAACAAGCGAGTAACAGCGGCACAAGTAGTGGCATGGGCAGCAGTTGCAACTGTTGGAAAGTTATCACTGAAGGCCTACGAAACAGAAATGCCTACGGCCTACAAGAACCTTCATCCAGCCCTGCCCACTTCTCCGGAGGACAGAACCACAATGCAGAGTACATTAACTGATCGTCGTCTCAGAACTTTATTATTGTTGTCTATTTAGCCGACCTGTCCCCCTTCTCTCGCAAGGATTCACCGCGGGAGGAGAGGGGACAAGGCAGACCGGCTACACTTATAATGACCAAGCCCTCGTGTAGCTTCACAAGCCGGAAGCACCTCACTGGTTGGGGCCATGTCCAGATCTTTCAAGTGTAGAGATTGTATCACTACCAACGACACTCCACCTGACGTGGTGGACACCGCGTGACACAGATAATCAGGAAGTAAAAACAAGTCCCTCTGATTGGTAACTTAACGGCGCCTGAAAGGGAATTGGTTAGAGGCAGGGAAATCTAAGAGGATTGGAGGATACATACAAAATGGAAAGGGTGGAAAACAGAGGACGATTTACAGTGCGGACAGTTGGGATCCGTTAGAGAAAGTTGAAAGGTGATTAGCTGGAGGGAAAATGGAAGGTAACTCTTCGAGAAAGGGGTTTGATGGATATATAAGTGGGGGGAAAAGGCAAGACCTTGAGATGCTTGGAATGAAGGGAATCGTTGAAGATCGTGGCTCATTCTTGAAGAAATAAAAACTCACATTATTGAAGACTACTCTGTTGGGTGTCACTGCACAGGGATTCTGTGAGCTCCTCACACAATCGAGCCTGGTTAAAATTAAAGCCAAAGTGGGATTCGTAGACAAGCCATCCCGAATGTTTTGAAACCGG